CAAACCCACAACCTTTTGGTCAGAAACCCACTGCGGTCACCATCTTCACCAGCGTCAGGTATACCACTTCGAGTTAACGTTGACGCAAACAGACCGTCATGGTTTCCCAGGGAAGGAGGGCAGATGCTTTCGTGAGGAGAGCCTGCTGAGACGTTTGCCGCAGAAGCGTGTTTCTGGGATTGGCAAGTGGGCCCTCTGTTTCCAAGAGCTGCAGTTAAGAGGGTGTTAATTAAAAATCATCAACTAGTCAGAGACGGGCTGGACATAATACAGCAGGAATTGGCCCAGAGTTCGATGAGAACATAGCTTTATGTCCCTCCAAAGGAGACCCTGGGCACAACTGGACCAGAGTCATACACCCCATCATTGCAGACGCAACTTAAAAACTCACTGCCCACTCACAGTGACCTTACAGGACAGAGTAGAGCTGCTCCTGTGGGTTCTGAGGCTGTGACTCTTTGCTGGGGTAGAAAATCCTCTTTCTTCCTGGTAGTTTTGAACTGCCAACCTTTGGGATCACAGCCCAACCCATAACCAATACTCCAACAGGGCTCTTCATTCCAGACTGGCCAGGCCTTACTATGTACCTGGGATCGCTCTCACACCCCAGCACATGGTTGGCTTTCTTGTCCGCAGGGCCAGGCTTTCATGTCTGCATGGAGCCTGGGGCAAAAGTTTGATTACTAACAGACTTACCAATTCAGGATAGGCGCCCTGGTGGCTGCAAGGTCAGCTGTTCAAAGGCTTTCTAGCTCCGCACAGTGTCACGTCTCAGAGCCGCAGGAGCCCTGGTGGTGTCCTGGTTAGCAGTTGGGCTGCGATCCTCAAGGTCTGCACTTCTGAACCACCAGCTCCTCGGGAGAAAGACAAGGCTTTCTACTCCCGTAAATAGTTACAGTCTCCGAAACTCACAGGGCCGTTCTCCCCTGTCCCATGGGGTCGCGGTGAGAAACCAGTCACAGCAGTGTCTTTAGACAGACGGAGGAGAGGCACAGACAGATGATGGACAGACGGGCAGGGCCAGGCTACCAGACGCTATCCTCGTTTCTTCTCCGAGGGTTCAGTGTCCTTTCTTTGGCTCCCAATGAAGGAAGACCAGCAGCTCGATCTTAGAGGTCCACTCACAAGCGTTGACGATCCCAGAGGCCTCTCATCTCACCAGGGTGCAGAACATGAGTTTGGTGATGTCAACTGGTGGTGTTCTTGGGCAGCCCTTTAGTCAGAGTGAACTGTCACAGCCAGGGCAGCGCACCCTTGACTGGTTGGTTCTCTAGTCTCCCCCGGAGACAGACCATCAAGCCCACGGCCACGGAGTTCTTTTCAATTCACAGCCGCCTCCGAGAAAATCACAGACCCAGGGGCGTTTCACGGCCGTGATCCCAACAGAACCAGACTGCCACATCTTTTTAGAACCATTGAGCTGCTAACCAGAAGGTCAGCAGTTTGAAACCACCAGCCTCTCCGTGGGAGAAAGATGAGGCTTTCTACTCCGGTAAAGATTTAGTCTCAGAAACCCGCAGGGGCATTCTGCTCGGTCCCCTGGGGTCACTACGAGCCAGAATCGACTCGGTGGCAGTGAACGAGTGAATTACTGCTAGGTGCTGACGGACGGCTCTGACTCACAGCAACCTGCGCCACCCTCACCGTTGTCCTGCTTGTACCCACTGTTGTGTCCAGCCATCTCGGCGACGGCCTTCTCTTTTTCTCTGCCTCTCTACAAAGCACGGCGTCCTTCTCCAGGGACTGGTCCTTCCCACGTCCAAAGTACGTGAAATGATGTCTCCCCATCCTCACTTCTGAGAAGCATTCTGGTTGTACTTCTTCCCAGATAGATGTACACACATACACACACACACACACACACACATCCATAAGCATGCACCATTTGCTTCTTTTCTCTAGCTACCCCTGACAAAGACATGGTGGGACCAGGCATGGAGCAGAGGGTCAGCGAGACACCACTGACGTTGTAGAATATCATGCAAAGAGGACTCAGTGGTCCGGCAGATGGGGCAGGAATGTGAGGTGTCCGGATGCCCTGAGTGGAGCCGGGCTCTGCTGGAGGAGGCGAGCACATCCCGCATGCCCTCTTCCTCCAGTGGTTCAGTGTTGGCTGGGCACTCCTGAGGACAATGACCGGCTGGGCTCTTTCCATGGGGCCTCCTGGGCTCTTTCCATGGGGCCTCCTGGAGGAGCAGCCTCAGAGGGAGGGATGAAGGGCAAGGTGAGCTCACTGGGGCGCAGCCTTCGCTGCACCTGACCCACAGTGGAGCAGACGGCGTGGTGCAGCTTCCATCCCTGTTGCGTGGTACCACATGCCTCCTTCGGCTTCCTCCAGAAGCAGGCTCCGAGACCAGGGTTGAGCCCAGGGAGATGGGCGGTGGAGTCGAGGGAGGAATGAATGAAGTGAAGGAAGGCAGCCAGTCTGGCCAGGCCTGCGACCCCCGTGGTTGACAGAGCAAACACTGGGCTGTGCTCGCTGTCACAGGACTCCGTCCTGACTCACGCAGAGCAGAACGAAGCGCTGCCCGGTCCTGTGCCACCCTCACCATTGTCCTGTGCTTGAGGCCACCATTGTCGCCACCGGGTCAAACTCCATCTCCTTGAGGGCCTTCTTCTTTGTCACTGCCCCTCTGATGGACCACGCATGATGTTCATCTCCAGGGACTGACCTCTAGGGGCAAGGATAAAGCCCATCTCACAGCGAGGTGTATGCACCGCCGCTCCACCAGTCACGGGTTGGCAGTGGCTCCTGTGGGCATGCATTCCTTGTCACTGATGGTCCAGCCTTGGGGCAGCACAGTGGGGTCTACTGGCAACAAAGGATCCCCAGGCAGAGAAGCGCAGGGTCCCCTGAGGGAAGATGGAAGCAGGGAGGGTCTGCAACCCTTGTACCCACTCACGGGAGCATCTATCTGTTTCCCTGCTGCACCGCGAGCTCCCTGAGGGCAGGGCTGCTGCTTCCCCCGCTCAGCACATGGTCCGGTGGTGGTTCTGGGTGCTCGGTGCCGTGGGGTTGATTCCTCGCTCCAGTGACTCCTGTGTGCTGAGTAGAACTGCTCCATAGGGTCTGGAGCCCGTGGGGGTTTGAAAACAGACCTCGAGGCCCCTCTTCTTGGGTGTCGCCGGTGGAGCGCTCTGACAGCTCTCCCATGCCGTGAGCGAGGACATCGGCTTCATGCTCCAGATGAGGGGGGCCCTGGGGCCCGGGCCCAGCCACTCTCTTTGTGAGAGAGGGAGTGGAGTCCAGGAGTGGAGACTCATGAGGGTGTGTGTGTGTGTGTGTGTGTGTCACTGGCCTGAAAGCTCCCCCTCTCTGGTTGTCACTCAGGTGTGTGTGTGTGTGTGTGTGTGTGAGTGAGAGAGAGACACTCGCCTGAAAGCTCCCCCTCCCTGGCTGTTGCTCAGGTGTGTGTGTGTGTGCGCGTGTGGGACTCTCCTGAAAGCCCTCCTCCCTGGCTGTCACTCAGGTGTGTGTGTGTGTGTGTGTGTGTGTGTGTAACACTGTCCTGAAAGCCCCCCTCCCTGGCTGTC